CCCCAAAACCCCAAAACCCCAAAACCCCAAAACCCCAAAACCCCAATATTCAATTTATTATTGAAAATGGGAGCTCAATATTCTGCATGAGAGAGGAAGAACAGCATAACTTTAAACTGGCACTTCGGATTTTTTATTTGAAGGTTTATGTATACAACTTTCCAGGATTGCATGAATGAGAACTGAAAGATCTCAATTGCCAATCCCAATAGACAAAATTATATCTTCCGAGTATCCAGTTATTCTTTCATGGATCTCCAGTCTTTCGATCTCAATGCGCAGATGGTAGCAGACTACAAGATAATCATACGTAAATAATGATGAGGAATTTGTAGCAGTAGGGTTATAGGTCTGGGTTTTGCTTTACGACCCCGTTTCGGAGGCTGGTGGAGCTCAAACAAATGGTGATTCGACGACGGCGGAACCATAAACTATATATACAGATTTGCTAATGGCTTCTCAACCTATCTCGCATATAACCGCGGTTATAATCTCTCCCTTAATCTTGATACCAGGATTTATGATAATACTATGAGTGAGTCAGTAGAAGAAAAGAAAGAAGTTTTCTCATTCAACGCAGAATTTGACGAAGAAGAGATCATTGATGGAGAAGATCTTATAGACATAAAGCTTCCAGAAAATCCAGATCATCTAGACAAAGTTCATGATTTCACTGTTTTTAGGATCGATCAAGAGGTCGGCCTCCTTGCCAAGATTGAAGAATGGACTGTAGACGCTTTTGCAAAAATGTATAAAGAGGAAACAATTTCTCAAGATTCATTTGCTGAAAGCATTATGGTATCAGGAGGAAATGTCTCCCCTGAAGAGTTTGAGGAACTAATCAAGGAAAACAACGCCTATGAGGTTGAATTACCTGAAGAACAACCACAAGATCAGTACGTAATTGAGCTAGGAAAAGAAACACCAACAAAAGATGAGTATGATATAGAACAAGAAGAGGAAGCAGCTGATATTGATATTTATGATTATGATCATATCAATAAACACAAGAGCTTGGATCTGATGGAAAAAGAACTCATCAGATCCTTCGAGAAAGAGATTGAAAGAGGGTTTGCCGAGGAAGAATATAATTTCAGGAGGCATTTCTTCTAGTTTCTTTGTTAAATTAATATCAGAAATGATTATCATACTTATTTGTAAATAAAATTCTACCATCTAATTAAAATTTTCATTTGCTTGGTTATTTTGTATGTTTCAATGACGTTCACCGGTGCAGGGGTTTTGGGGTTTTGGGGTTTTGGGGTTTTGGGGTTTTGGGG